AATCCCGGTAACGCAGTCAGCTTCTTCGCTGTCTTTCTTCTTGCACTGAGCCTCCGCAACGCCAAACACATCACCCTCCACCTCCACAAGGCTGGGGACACGCAGCGAAGTGACTGAAATCCCATCTGCTTTTTCCCATTTAGCACCGGTCACAATCTTCGTCCCTGTAAATGGGTTCACGGCAGCCTTTTGATCACTGGCCGCAGCCCCACTGCCGCTGCCGCACATCGACAGCACGCAGAGGAGCAGCACCGCGGATAAAACAGCTGCCGGGGCATGTTGTGTGGGCGGTGTGTGTGTGTGGTGCTGGTGGTGACTGCAGGGCCTTTCAAAGTGCACAGTAGCAAGTAGCGTTTAGTCGCTTTTCTTCCGCGTGTGTTTGAAGATGAGAAGTTAGGGGTAGGAGAAAACAATATATAAAAAAGACAACAGCGCAAAGAGTTCCGTTTATACACGCATCATGTAAAATTCACGCCCCAAACATCCGCGTTCTTCGTGCGGGAGAAGTCTAACAAAAGAAGGACGAGAGCCAAGTGCTGAGCCACTTGGACATGGCCCAAGAGCGATTAGTACCTCGCAAGAAGTGAAGCCAAGATCCATCAGCTAGTAGTCTCTTTGTCCTGCTGTGGGCTTGCGATGGTGACGACCCGGTTCTGAAATGTTTTTTTTTTCAGGAGGCCCAGCTCAATAGTGGTAGATTTCTCACCAAACAGCTGCAACTGCAGACGCGTCGCGTTACTTCTCGCACTGGTAGTTCATCAGCGGCGGCTTCTGTAGCCGCGCGGGATATGGAATTGGACCCGGGCCCCCGCCCAGTAGGCCGTGCAGTGAAACGCTGGCGGGCGAAGCAGATTCTACTGGAGAAGCTGTTGCAGGAGGAACAAATTGGTTTTCGCGTGTTTGTTGGGACCCGTTTTGCTCCAAGCAGGCGCGAATGTTTTAACCCAAATTCTTTCAGCGCCCCGGTTTGGCGCGAGCAGATGCGCAACCAGACGGAGGCAGACTGGGCCGTGAGCCGGCACCTTGCCAGAGGCAACATTGCAACTCGCAGAACGGTACTTCGCGCAGCTCGCCAACGCATCAAAGATGCTAAGCGCGCTCAGATCGTCACACGAAGATCCGGTTTTCCCACAACAGAAGCAGGAGCGGCGGCTGAGCAATTGGTAGCCAACTTTCTAGCACCCAGAAGACGGGCCGTTCCTTCGCCAACATCCGCAGTTGAGCCCGCCCGTTCGCGGCAGTGGCCCGACACGCGGTGAAACACACGCCACCCCATACGGCGGCCCAGCGCCCTACCGTTTTGGACGCCGGAACCGCCCGCCGTGGATAACGCCAGATAGTGGTGCGAGACCCTGCCGGTCCTGCACTACCTTCTACTGCGGGAGGCGCGCGCTTCTGCGAAATCGCGGCGGCTCGCTGGAGAGCGAGATGCTCCCAGCGGGAACCGGAAGAGAGGGCGGGCTGGGGTCAGACTGAGGCAGTGTTTGCCGCGCGCTGCGAACCCCGCTCGCCCCGCCGGCTTTGGTGGCGAATGGCCCGCCCACCGCCAAGAAGAGGCACACGGGCTTCTTTGAACTCATGTGCGCCGCCAAGTCGATCCAGCATGGAAAAAGCCCACACCCTCCGCGTTAAATTCCACTGGGGAATCTCCGGGGCGCCGTTTTGCGTGGGGGTGCTTTTTGGGGCGCTTTTTGGGAGAGCGCCGGGGCCTGCTGCCGTAAATTGCGAGACCCTGCGCCACCCACCGCGCACAAAGCAGCGGTGACTACGCTCAGCGGTGGTGTCGATGGCGGCGGTCTTGTCCCGTTTTCCTGGAAAACAGGCGTTGCCGCACTGCCTCCCAAACCTGGCGAGCCCGCTGGTAACCCAATCTTGCTTAGGCCCGTTGCCTTTTTTGGCCTGCCCGCGCGAGGTTGCGGAGAGGGCTGGGGCGCGCCGCATCCGTAGCGCAGCTGAAGGCGAAGTTTTTTCCCAGAAAGCTGATTTTCACCGAAGTCGGTCGACGCCAGGCCTGCCGGCGCCTTCCTTGCTACACCGCACACCGTGAAAACGGGAAAAGGTCGGTGCGGCGCTTGTGGGCTGCACCGGGGCCTCCTATTCAGATGGTTGCAGTTTTGTATTCGCTGCAATCAAACAGCGCAAGGCGGATTTGCACCTGGTCCGTTGGGTGGCGGAATTCCTTTCCCGCCGCCCGCCGAGGGCCCGTATACACGAGACCTTCTCCGCCCCTTTCTCGGCTCACCTGCGGTGCCCCACGGTAGCCAGCTTTTGGCCCACGGCTTTGCACCTTTGCCGCTAACAGCCCCAGTAAGAGAAACTGGTGGGCGCCCCCATCCTCGCGCATCCCTTCTTCGCCGGCGGCCTGGCATTCGGCGCGCGAGCCCAAGGCAGAGGCCCCATCGAGACCAGGCCGTAGCAAGCCTTGGGCTGCATTTTGGATTGGGCAAATAAAACAAAGACGACGTGCAACCAGGTGCGGCGAAGGCGAGGCCCATGCTACTCGGCACCCAACGGCGCGGCTCGCCCCATGCTGCGCGTGGGCGGTGTCGCCTTAGCGGAGGGCCGCCCACCGCTACTTTTGGGATTTTTTATCCACCCATTGCGTGGGGGTGGCTTCCAGGCGTGGAAACTATCACCGCTGCAACGGCACGGCTGGGGAAGACGCAAGCGATGCCTACGACAAGGTGGAAGCGTAAATGCGAGACGCTTTGCTTCCTGCAAAGGGCCTTCGTTGAGTTCAAACCCCTGTGCGAGGCAGCGGCGCCGTCGAATTTGACGTGGCTAGAAGGGTTCCAAATTTTCACCGCCAGCGCCATTGCAGGCACTTCAGTTGGAATTC